GCTGTTTATCAGCAACAACTTAATGAGATTCTCCAAATTGCGAAGCAAATTTCTAAGGAACGTCAAAAGCTTCAAAAGTTTTTTTTTATTTTTTCTTTCGATTTACCGAAAACATATTTTCAGCATTCTCGACAAATGCGACGATGCTGTCCAATCAGTTAGAAAGAAAAAAGCTAATCAGGAACAAGTAATAGTTAAAGCAGAAAATGACTCGAATAGACATGAAAGTCGCCGCAATAAATTAATGAAGGATATTGAAAATGAAAATCAAAGGGTTCTGAATATGGAAATTTTACTTATAGCATATTTTTTATAGGTTGAGGAACTTGAGTCTGTACCTGAACGTTCAAGAGGAAAGATTGAGGCTTTTCGTAAGCAGCTCGAAGAAATGAATGCACTAATTGAAGTTATTTACTGGTTATTTATCAAAAAATTTATTTTAAAAATTAGGAGTTTTCACCAATTTTAATGGCGAAATTGCAAGAAGTACGTGAAGCTTTGAAATCTGAAGAACCAAAGAAAACAAAATTGGAAGAGGAACTGGGTGAGCTTTCAATTAAGGAGGATTCATTGAATAGTAAGGTGAGTATTTATAATTCTTGGTTACATTCTTCTTAAAAATTTTTAGTTAACTTTGGCTCAGCAACGTCTTTTAAACCTTCAAAGTGAAGAAGAGGAACAGAGACAAAAATTCGATGCTTTACAAGCAGATTTGCTTAGAACTGAGGAGACTGTCTCAAGCCGAGAGAAGTTAGTTCATCTTTGGAAAATTTTATTTATTTTTAAATATTTTCAGAAAACTTCAAACAGCCCAAGCCCAGCTTCCGGACCTTGAAGCCACATTTGAAGGGAAAACTTCAAGACTGGCTCATTTACACGAACAGGAAGCTCGGTTCACTGGACGAATACGTGAACTCAGACGAAAATATGAAGAGCAGAAACAAACTGAGGAATGTTACACTAGCGCTAATAAACTTCTAAATCGAATAATGGAGGCAAAACGTAATGGAGAAATTCAAGGAATATTTGGACGTTTGGTTTGTTTTGATTTCGTCGAAAAATTTATTGATTAAAAATATTTTTAGGGCGATTTGGGTGCTATCGATGAAAAATACGACACTGCTATTTCAGTAAATTTTCCTCAGCTTGAATATATTGTTACCGACACAATTCAAACTGCCCAACATTGTATTGAATTGTTGAAACGTGAACAACTTGGCGTCTCTACATTTATTGCACTTGACAAACAACAACAATATTGGCGAAATATTCGTGCAGTTCCTAAAACACCAGAAAATGCTCCTAGACTTTTTGATTTGATTCGTGTTAAAGATGAACATGTTTGTCTTTTGATTTTTTGTTAATAAATATACAAATTATAATTTAAGTTTTTCAAATCTCTCTTAAATACTAGTTAGATTTTGTATGCTAATCATTATTAAATAAAGGTTCTACCTGCTTTTTATTATGTTCTGGGTGAAACGCTTGTAGCGGATGATATTATCTCTGCTACACGTATTGCAATGGGTAATGAGCGTCGTTGGAGAACCGTTACTCTAAAAGGCGAGGTAAATACATTTTTAATTTAGCTCGTTTATTTCTATTATTTTTTCCTTTTAGCTTGTTGATGTTTCTGGTGCAATGACAGGTGGTGGAAATGTCCAAGCTCGGTATGTATTACATTAAACGAATTTTATTAAGTTTTTCTTTTATCTATTAACATTACAATCCTATTTTACTTTTAAATCTAACTTATTTAAGAAGCCGAATTGGACGTGAAGTTGTCGTTGTTACCAGCCAACAATTAGATAATCGTCAAGAAGCCTCAACACAACAACAATTGGCAGAATTACAACAAGAATTAAACAATGCAGAGGCAGAGTTGACCAATATCAAACGTCAACATGCACAACTTGAACCTGAACTTCAGAAACGTAGAGATGATTTAAAACAGATCAGACTGTCGGTTAGAGAAATGCAGCTAGAGATTGAGGTTTTTTGCTTTTCTTTGGATTTTTTGGTTAAAAATTTTATTTTTTAGAATTCAAATATGCGAATAGTTGACCTTAGAAAGCAAATTGAGATCCAAAAACAAAATGTTGTGAATGCATCTGCAAATCCCGAAGAAGTTAAAAATGTGAAAGCTGAAATTACTTCTCTTACTTCAAGTAAGTTCTATCTTTTATTAACCTTGAAATAAAATTATTTAAAAGAAACTACTGAAATTGGCAAGCAAACTGATAAAATTCGCTCATCTCTTATGGCAATAAATGCTCGGATGGAGGAGGTTGATGAGAGAATTGCGGGTCCTCACAGAGAACGTTTACGTGATGCAGAGGAGCGTAAAAAAGAAGCGGAAAATGGAATTACTAAAGAATCGGCAGCAATTATAACAAGTGAAAGAAATTTGAAAAAGTCGCGTGCCAAAATTGCAAATTTGGAGAAAGATGTTATGGTAATCTTTAATATTTTTATTCAAAATTAATTTCTTATTCGCAGGATGTGGAAAGACAATTCGAATTGTGTACAAAAAATATTTCTTTGGCTAGAGATCGTTTAGTCGAATTTGAATCACAACTTTTGCAATGCAATGAAGATCTCGATTTAGCTAAACAAAAATTAAATGAGTTTATTAGTTCGGTTAGTGATAATAATGAAAGAGAAGTCGAATTACAAAGACAAGTCAGTCAGTTGCAGCATGAAGTAAAACGTCTTACTGGCGAATTGGCAACATTGGAGGCAAAATTGAAAGCCTTATCTTCAAAGGTATATTTTTATATTTTCCCCTTGGTACTGATATTTTTTTTTAAATTTAGCTTACAAAATTGCGACTCTATAGGTTGAAAAGATTGACAGATGCTCTTTCTAAACACATAGAGCCTTTAATTTTACCTGATGAAGATTTTGATGAGTTAATGGATGATGATGTTGAAGAAATGGAGCAGGATGAGAATTTGAATGTTAATGAACAATTACCTAAACAAAAGTTACAACGTCAACTTTCATCAGCACAAAAACGTCAACAGCAACAACAAAACATTTTACAACAACAGCAAGAAGAGGCAAATGATGGGTTGGATTCTTATCTTGAAGAATGTATTGAACAGGAGGAAACGGAAGCAGCTGATAGAATTGAATTGGAAAGGGTGATTTTTAACTACATTCAATCAGAATTCTTTTTAATACTTTATAAACTTTAGAAAAATATTCAGATTGAAATTGATGAAAACTCGGGACCGGTGGACGAACCAATGGAGCAGGATTTAGTTGACGACGATGTAATTGATGCAAATCTTACTACCACTCCTGCTTCTCAAAACAATTTATCTCAACTCCAGTCACCAAACGATCGTCGTCCACTTAATTCTGCTGCTAAAACGAGAGCAAATCCAGATTCTCAAATGATAATACAGAATTCACAATGTTTTATTCCATTACCTCGCTATACTGATGAACGTATCAGGGAATTTTGCGTCGACGATTTGGAGACAGATCTAGCAACATTGGAACAGCGAAGAGCAAAGCAACGAGTTAATTTGGCGATTGTTATGGATTTTATGCAAAAGGTTTTTTTAAATATTAATTAGAATTTAAAAATTATTTTATAATAAAAGTTGGATCGGTACGAGGCGGAATTTAACCGTCTTTCTGAAATTACTTCACTTCGTGATCGACACCGTGCTTTGCATGATAAATTGAAGAAACAGCGTCTTTTTGAATTTATGGAAGGATTTCAAGAGATTGCTACACTTCTCCGCACTACATATCAAATGATTACTATCTTGGGAGATGTTTCACTTGAATTGGTAGATGCTTTAGATCCATTTTCTGAAGGAATTGCATTTAATGTTCGACCACCAAAAAAGTCTTGGAAACAGATTTTGAATTTGTCTGGCGGTGAAAAGACTTTGGCATCTCTTTCTTTGGTAAGTTGAGTTTGATGTTAAAAATTGCTAACTAAAATTTGTTGTCCTATACATTTGGGCTGAGGTTGTGTTTGAGAATCTTCCTTTTTGGGTCAAACTCTACTTTGATGTTTTTTAAATAGATATTTTACAGGTTTTTGCCCTTCATCATTATAAACCGACACCACTCTATGTGATGGATGAAATTGATGCTGCGTTGGATTTTCGAAATGTTTCTATAATTGCTAATTATCTTTTGGTAAACTTGAGTTTTAAATAAAGAAAATAAATTTTTATAGGAACGTACACGTAATGCTCAATTTATTGTTATTTCACTTCGAAATCAAATGTATGAAAAATCGGATCGTTTAATTGGAATTTACAAAATTAATGATTGTACAGGAAATGTATGTTTGGATCGACATGTTTTTGAAAATAAACGTGAGTTAAAGTATGAACAATTAAATACATGATTTCTTTTTTTTGCTTTAAAAATACACAAAATATCTCATCAATTTTTTTCACTTAATTTTATTGTTTAAATTGTATTTTAGAATACTTACAAATAAAGATACAATGTTTTTTGGCATTGATAATAATGCTTGCTCTTTTAGAAATCTTTTTAAATTTATTTAAATGAGAGGCTTTTTCTTTCTAATAAATTAATCTTCCAGCATAATTTTATTAATTATGAAGAGAATAAAGTTGCCCATCGTGTAATTACATTCCCTGGTTGCCCCGTAGATTGTCGCCAATGTTCTCTTCCAGCTTCCTCAATTGCCAATTCCCCTAACACACAATAACCTATTTCAACGTCTGGTATTCCTCCTGTACATGTATTCATTACCTTAAAAATAAAAAGAGGAATTATATTTATTAAAAAGTTATAATTACCGAAATCACAATTGTTGCATCTTGGATTTCTGATGAAGCTATTTGGAATTCAAAAACTTCATCAAAAACTGGGGCAATTGAGAAACGACGTCCATCTTTTGGCCGGCGTGGGCCCGAACGCTTTTCAGGCCTCTGGGCTTCTCGTAGTAACCAAGCAACAATATATGGGGCTATAAAAATACTTTTTGAGAAGAAAATAAATTATCGAATGCCTGGCACTTTTACTCCGCTTGCACGAATAACACCAATATTTAGCTGTCCGTCTGCTGGTGAATATCTTAATGATATGAGAAGTTGTCCGAGTTGTTCTCCTCGCCAAAGATTTAACTAATATAAATATAATTTTTGGAATAATTTTATTAAAATTAAATTACTTCTGCGCTTTTTCTTCCGTATGAGAGATTTGTGGGTGGAACTTTTGCACCTCCTCTACCCAAATCCATAGCTGCTGCCGAAATAAATACTTGTCCAGGTCCACCAAGTGCATGCATTAAAAGTCCAATACCACGTAATCGGGAGAATGAGTGTGGGCCTAAAAAATTAATTTTAATTATTTTTGATTCAAAAAACTTGCCATGTAATTTTGTAATATCATCCCATTCATCACTTCCTTTTGTGCTTGCTCTTCTACGTGTTATTGGCAATGGCGAAATAAATCCCCTTCCATTTCCTCTTCCAGGTGAAATAATTCCTCTACGGTCAGCCAAAGAAAGTGAACGTTTAACGTTTTGGCAATTCGGGGCGCTTGAATGGCGGCCCCGTTTAGAGCCGGGTAATTGCATAAAGCCATAAAGTGCATGACAAGCAGCTAATCTATCCATTTTTTAAAATTTTTTAAAGCTAAAAATAAAAAAAAATATTAAAAAATAAATATAATGCATATATTTACATATATTCTCGCGTGATACCAAAATAATCAAACAAAAAAGTTTCCAAAAATATATAAACTAAAATGGATATTTGTAAAACATTGAAAAATTGGTAAAAATGTTTTAAAATAAAATGTTAAATAAAAGTAATTACTAAAGGACTCATAAATAATTATATATTCTTTTGTTAATTATCATGCTTTTATTTTTTTGTTACATTATTAAACACAAAAAAAGGAATTTAAATAAATAATTATGTAAATTATTAGAAAAGAGAAGAAAGTAAAAAAGGCTTCGAAATTTTCTGAATCTTCCAAAATGAATATTAATATAGAAATTAATAAGTAGAAGATATAATACCTATTTTTAAATAACACCTCAGTATTCCCAACGGGGATAAGATTAACAAAAAATTTAAGAAAAAGTTGATAAAAATGTTTTATAAAAAATTTTTTTAATTAGCGAAAAGAAGATAAATGGACTATTCAATTTTAGTTTCTAAAATATGTAGTATGTACAGTTTAAATGTATGTATATTTTTGTGATTAGGAATAATTTTTGAATTGTGTTATTTTTTAGTTTTTATCTATTTATGGGTTGAAATTAAAAATTTTTTGAAAATCAAGGTCAATTAGGTTAAGCAATGATTAAAAATCAAGGTTGTTGATATATTTTTGAAAAGCCTTTGAATTATTTTAAATATTACATTCTTTTATTGCATTCTTCTAAAATAATTTTTTAACTATTTTTGTATATCAATTTTTAAGATTATAAAATATTCTCTAAACAATTTTTCGTCACTCCGCAGCTTTATTTTTAGCTTTTAATATTATTGGAAATATAATATTTAAAAAATGCTATTTTTAATAATATAAATAGTTATTTTGAGACTAAAACCTTATAATATTTTAGTTGCTTTATTTAAAAACCAAAGATTCTTAAAATACTTATAGACTAAAATAAAAGGGTAATGTTAAAATTTGTATAATTTTTATTATTAAATTATTTTGCTAAAATAATTTTAAAAATTATTTTTTTATTAATTAAAATTTTAAATTAAAATAAATAATTACCTATTTAAATTTATTTTAAAAAAGGGCAAAATAAATAAAAATATTTTTATATTCACTCAAGAAGAAATAAATATATATTTATAAATTGTCTCTAACCCCAACCCAATTTTTATAACAAAAAAAAAGCTTTTTTCCTCTCTTGTTCAACCATTAACTAACAACAAAAAAATGCCGAAAGGGCAGAAAGGCATAAAAAGACCAAAAACATATATAGAGAGTATATGTAAGTATATATTTTGTTGTTAATTTGTTAAATATTTTTTTTGTCTTTTTATTTTTTCTTTTAAAATAAAATACAAAAATCCCCTCCTCCCTACTCCCTACTCCACTCTTTCTTGAGGAAAAAAAAACTAAATATTTTATAAAACATTTGACTCAAGAATGGGAGAAAAATAAAATGGCACAATTAAAGGCCCCAAGTGGCGATAATCAACAACAAAAAATAATGAAGAAAAGGAAGTTTTAAAAAGAAAAAAAATATTTTTTAAAATAAATAAGAGTCGAGATTAATAAAAATGAAGTTATGTATGTATGTAGTTATAAAATTTTAAAGAATGTTCTGATATTCATTTCTAAGTGTAAAATAATTAGTGTATATATTTTATTGCCTATTTCAATTAGATTATAAATAAAATAAAAAAATTCATATATATATTTTATTAAATTAAATTTGTGTAGAAAAAATAATAAAGTAAAAATTATATATAAAAATATATATTTTTTTTTGATTAAAGAAACCAATGAATTTTTAAATTAAATTACTACAAATGTATAAACTAAAAAAAATTTTTTTCATTTTTCTTTCTAATATTTTCTGTGAATTATTAAATAACTAAATAATAATTTAACCAGAAATTTTTAATAAATATTATAAATTAAAATTTCCATTCTGAGAACATCAACCAAATTTTTAATTAAAAAATTTAAAGTAATTTATTTCCTTTTATTTAATTTGACGGAATATGCCAACTTTAAATTAAACGATTTAATTTAAAACCAATTTTGAAGAATTTTTTAAATTTAAAACAATTTATTCAAAAAATTTATTTTAATAAAAACATTAAAGTATTAAATAACTAGGTATTTATTTTATTCTTTATTTTGGTTTTTAATTTTACTAAAAAGGAAATTAAAAGTTTTTTTCAATGCAATTTTAATTTAAATAATATTTTGAATAATTGTGAAGAGAAAATATATTTTGTTATTATTTAAAAATTATTTAAAAATCAGACATTCTAAAAATAATGGAAAAATAAATAAAATGATAATTTGAAAAAATTAAACGTTTAATTGAAAAAGTAACATAATGCCACTTTTAACTCTGAAGGAGTTAAAAATTTTATTAAAATATATTACAAAGAGGTCGAAAAGAAAAGTTTATTATTCGCATTATTAAAATAAGGAAATTTCTCATTTATACTTAAATGAAAGTAAAAATAATTCAAATATAAGGTATCAATTGTGTCTGGAGTCTGTCCAAGATTTAGCAAAGTCGACGAGCACAAGAATAATAATTTATTCAAAGTAGAGAGTTACAATGCAAGCAAAGACCAGACGAAGGAGATAGCTAGAATTTTTGAATTTTCAGAAGGCCAAAAAGTCAAAATTCTTTATTAGTAGAGGAAAAAATCGGAATTTCTGGAATTTCCCAAGGCGTGTAACTTCTTCTAAATAATAATCTCTAAAGTTATAATTTATCCTTAAATTTTAATTTATTAAATTTACTTTTTATTTTTTTATTAAAATATATTCATCTTTTAATAACACAGAATAGCCGGTTGACGCCTTCACAAAACAATTTAACACAAAATATATATATCCATCCATCCACATCCCTTTAACTTGTTATATCCTCTAAAACCAATCGAAATCACCAAAATATTTTTCTATTTTTCTCTTTTCTTATACGGATCAACAAACATAAAGTCCACAAAATTGGGTCATTCACTTTATTTATTTTCTAAAATTATCCCTATAATCTCTTTTTCTCTCTCTTTCCTTCATATAAGGTGATAAAAAAAGATATATTCAAAAGATAATTTGCGCGGTATTTTCTTCTGTTAAATTTTAACTTTTCTTTATATGAATGTTGACATTTTTGTTTAAATGAATGCCAGGAATGGATGTGAAATGATAGACAATAAAAAAAGTGTTTTTAATTTTTTTTACTTTTTTTTTATCGAAAAGCGAAAATCGCCTCTTTATATTTTCCTTTTTTGTACTTTTTCCTTTTCTCTTTTTCTTTTTCCCAAATTTTTGTAATTAATTTTTAAAATAAAAAAATATTTTTTAAAGTTTAAAAAGAAACATTTAAATTAATTTTTTTAATTTTAAAATGGCCGTAAGGCCAACCAGCAGTCGGCAATTTGACAAAAACAACAACAGTAACACCAATAATAATTCTGAAAAGCAAAGAGTTGTTGAATTTAATATAAAAGAAGAATCTTCTGATAAATCTTCTGATTTATTAAATACAGTAAAAACAGAAAATAAAAAAGAAGAAAAATATTTAAAAAGAGAATTAGCCTATAGAAGTATTATTTTATTTAGTTCTTTATTTAGTATTAGTGCACTTCTTTGCCTTTGTGCATTACTTCCATCATTATATAGCCATGTTAATAGTTTGGCTGGATTTGCGAGAAAAGATTTTGCTTTTTGTGAAGTAATTTTCATTTTTTAAATATTAAAAATCCCTGAACCTTTTAATTTAAATTATTATTTGTATAATTTTCTTAATTTATTAACCAAAACAATTCGAACTATTATGTGATTAACTCATCTAATTGGGTCAATAAATTCTTATAAATTTACTTAGTTTAAAACCTCTTAGCTTTTAACTCCGCAATTTTTGCAATTTGATTATAATTTTTAAATATTCTTTACTTTAATCTCCCAATTATTACTCATAAATTTTTTAAAGAGAACAGCACTCGATTCAGAAATGGCATTACCTATTAAAAATCAAAAAGTAGAAATTTCAAAAACGAATAGAAGTAAAAGACATGTTCCTTATGGTAGTGGATATAATGCTGCATTAATGAATGGAGGAGGGCCTATGTTTCAAGAATGCCCGGGTATACACATAAAAATAAACAGATTAAACTTTGTTTTTTAACATTTAGCTTGTTGTATTCCTGGCGAAAGAGGACCTCCTGGTGATCCAGGCCTTCCAGGAATTCCAGGTGCTCCTGGCCCTGATGGGGCACAAGGTCGGCCAGGAACTACTCCAAATGCTTCGTGTATTCCTGAAAGAGTATTTGAACCTCCACCATGCTTGCCTTGTCCACAAGGACCGAGAGGGCCACCTGGACATCCAGGATTTCCTGGGGAGGTATTTAAATATAATTATGTGTAAATTAAAGAAAAATTAACTTTATAGATGGGTGATTCAGGTATTCCAGGTCGTCCCGGTCGAGATGGATTACCAGGGAAAAAAGTAACTAAAATTATAAAATTTATTTAAAATTATTATTCGAAAATGCTCATTTAAATTCATAATTAGGGAGAAGATGGGCCTCCCGGATTAGATGGTCAACCAGGACCTGCAGGACCGCCTGGCGATAAAGGATCAACACCAGAGGCACATATAATTCCAGGTCCACCTGGTGATCCTGGCGAAACTGGACCTTGGTAGTTTTGCTATTTTTATTTAAAATAAAATACTTTTGTTTTTCTAGGGGGCCTCCTGGCCTTGCAGGTCCACCAGGTGAAGATGGTTATCCAGGAAGTGCTGGTGAAAAGGGATGGCCTGGATTACCTGGACCTCCTGGGGCAATGGGTGCTTCTGGACAATCTGGTCCTCAGGGAGAGCCTGGCCCTACGGGCACACCTGGAACTTGTGTATGTCAAGATACCGAAATTGTGGTTACTGAACAAAAGAAAAAGATAACACAAGGAGGAGGGGGATATCCGCCATCTACAAATGGTTAAAATATTATTAAATTTTTATATATAAAAATATTTTTTAGCAATAGGTGGTGGTTATTCACAACAAGGAGGTTATGCACGAAAGAAAAAGAAAAGGCATTAAAAAAGGAAATGTTAAACAAAAATTTCTTTTTTAATTTTTATATTTTCTCAAATAATTTATTTAAATTTGGACTGAAAAATTTTAAACTTTTTTGAAATTAAAAATATTTTTATTAAAATTATTAATAGCCCAAATTTATTTTGATTTGTTATATGTATGTAAATAATTTTATTAAAAAATTAAATTTATATAAAGTTTTAATTTCAATTATTTTTATTAAAAAAACATAAATTAGCTTTTTCAAATTAAAGTTATAATTATATGATCAAAAAATTGCCCGCTCGATTACCTAATTACCCTCTCCACTAAGAGGTCTAAACTATATCTACCCTGACGGCAGGTATATACATACATATTAAAATAAAATTAATTATAATTAATTTGTGTCACCTTCGTACAAAGTTACTTTAAAAAATTAAAATAAATTGTATTTTTCTTAAAAAGCTTTAGGACATTTCTAAAATTAACTTAGATTAGACGTTTATTGTAGAAAGGTCAAATTATTTAATTTAAAAATATTATTTTTTTAATTATTTTTCTTCCAATTTCATTTTTTTAAATTAATTTGTGCCATCCTTCTTACTTACTTAAAATAATTAAAAGTAAAAACAAATTAATTAAAAATTAATTATTTAAATTATTTTTTCCCTTTTTAAATTCTTCCAAAAATATATTTAAAATGACATTAAAAATAAATATGTATAATTTAGTAGGTCATTCATTAAATCAACCATAATAAATAAATATTTTTATTTTCTTCTCACCTTCTTTTTAAATTCGTTTCCGCGTCAGGGCATTCTCGAAAATCTCTCCCTTTCTCCCTTTCTTTCTTTCAAAATTAAAATAAATAAATATTTTTTAAAATAAAATTAAAAATATTTTTATAAAATGTCTGGAATTGGGGAAAAAGATGGTGAAGAAGAAAGGTTTCTTTTTATTTAAAATTATTTTAAAAATTAATTAATTAAAGATATAACCAATTTTTTGTTTGTAAAGAAAGCTCAATTTTTACAAATAAATTTCCAATAATAAATAGACAAACTGCTTATCAATTTGTTGCTGGTATTCAAATTGCTTTTAGGTAAAATTTTATTTATAAAGCTAATTAAATATAAGGAGAACTTGGAATATGTTTTAGATTCCTAAGGAAAAATTTTTTAGAATAGATAACCCCCCTATTTCCGTTTTTTTAAAGGAAAAATAAAATATAGTATTTCAATAAGCTAATATAGAAATGAAGATTCATTTAATTTTGTTTATTAGAACTTAATTTTAATGATAGCACCTTTCACCTAGAAAGAGGTGAAAGACTTTCACCTCCTTCACCTTTTTTCATAAAAATAAAATAATTTGAAATTTAAAATAATTTCTATTTTTATTTTTTCTAGTTTTCTTTCAATTCTTTTAATTGTTCTAAGTTTACCATTAATGCATAGTAGAACACAAACAACATTAAATTATGTAAATGCAGAAATTAATTTTTGTGAGCGTTCGCTTTTGGAGGCCCAAAAACAATTAGAAATACGTAGAATTGGTGGAAGTTTTTCTTCATCTTCTGATAATTATTTCACTCATAATGCTAGAATAAATCGAACAAAAAGAAATAATGGATATGTAGAATCTGTTGAGGAGGGAGTACCTCAACAACAGTTAGGGCCAGGCATTCCAGTACAGACTGAATGCCCTGGATGTTGTATTCCTGGACCTCCTGGCCCGAGAGGACCTGCTGGGCAACCAGGCAATTTCTAAAATTAAAAGAAAATTTTTTTTATTTAAACAATATTTTTATAGGAACTCCGGGAAAACCCGGTCCTGCTGGAAAGCCAGGTGTTCCTGGTACTTCTCCCAATCAGACTTGTCCTCTTGCACCACGAAGAGAACCACCACCTTGTCGGCCATGTCCAAAAGGGCCACCAGGCATAAAAGGTTGGCCAGGTTTCCCTGGCGATGTTGGTCCTGTTGGTCCACCTGGAGAGAAGGGACGTGATGGGGATGATGGGGCACCAGGTGTTTAATTACTTTGATATTTATATTCAAATTATTTTTAAAGGAGAACCAGGCCCTCAAGGCCCGCCTGGTTTTAAAGGCCCGCCAGGCCCGCCTGGAGATAAAGGAGAAACTCCCCATGGTATTTAAATTTTAAAATATAAATTTAACAAAGTTAATTTATAGGAGAGGTTAGGGAAGGTCCGCCTGGAGATCTTGGACCGCCTGGCCCTATTGGGGCTTCAGGAGTGCCTGGATTACCCGGTCGAAATGGAATGACTGGACCCTCTGGAGGTGTGTTTAATGAAATAAATTTTATTTAACTATATAGTATTTAAATAATATTTTTAGATAGAGGTTACCCAGGCAGTCCAGGCAAAAATTTTATTTAATATTTATTTTTAAATAATTATATTTTTATACAATTATTTCAAATTAAAATACATAATTTGTTTTTATATTTAGGAGAGCCTGGAGAGCCAGGTTATCCGGGACCGGAAGGCCCCACAGGAATTCAAGGACCTCCTGGCCAACCGGGTGTTTGTGTATGTCAAAATGTTGATTCTGTTATTGTTGCTGGACCAGACCCTTCACAGCCACGTTTTTCTGATCAACAAAATTATGCATATCCATCTTATAATAACGCCGAGGAAGGAGGTGGTGGAGGGAGTTCTATTTATGGATAAATTAAAAGAAAATTTTTTTAGTAAATCACCTCATACATTTAAAAACATTTTTAGTAATTATAGATTATTTAAATTTTATCTAAAAAAATAAATGTACATACATATAATTAAATAGTATTTTATTTAAATTATTATTTTTCCTTTTTATTTTCTTTTAAATTAATAAATTCCTTTTCCTCATTTTTATGCCAATTAATTGCCAAACAAATTCCATTAAAGAAAATAAGTAAAAATACAAAAAAACTTTCATGAATACAAGGAAATAGCCTTTGTTGTTGTAAAAATGAACGAATAAATGCTGTGATAAATCCACAAAAAATAGAAATTAAAATAAGACGCCAAACGGAGCGATCTACAGAAGCAAAGCCAGCAAAACTTTGAAAGGAATTTTTATTTAAAATAATTTTGGATTAAAAATGAGATTAAAATTAAAATTTTTAAATTACCGTAAAATCAGCCAAGTCCCCAAAGTACTCACTAAAGAATACCCCATTTGATGCCAGGGACCATAAAATTTATTTTGATATTCTAAAATATCCAAAGCTGATTTTTCAGATAAAGAATCTCCTCCTTCCATTAAATAAGGCTGATTTAATGACCAAAGATATCCATGCTTTTTTTAATTATTTTAGAAATAATTAAAATAAATTTAAAAAAAAACCATCCAAATTGGATTAAACATAAAATCCCACAAATGAGCACTAAAAAATATTCCTAAAGCAAAACGGAAAATAAAAATAATTATTTGACGAATATGTGCCTCCCTTTGTGAAATCCTTTAAAAAATGATTTTTTTAATTTTTAAAAATTTGTTTTTACCATTCACCATCCTCAAATATAAATTCATTAATTAATTTATTTGACATTAAAATATTTATTAAAAAATAAACAAAATATTTATTTATTTTTGAAAGACAATAAAAATTTAAAAAAAATTAGACAACCTTGACCAGCCTTGAAAGGCGGGGGACAATTATTTGAGAAACGAAAAAAATGGAATCGATGAAAAGTTTTTTGTACGAATCTCTCATTTATTCATCACTTTTAAAGCTCATGTAAGGAATAATTGTGAGATTCAAGTAACTTTATGGGAATTATTTGGAGTTTTATAACTAGTAAAGTTGTCGGTTCTAGGAATAAAATGTCAAAACAAAGAAATAAATGAACGAGTGAGAGAGAAGGCTAAAAGTTAGGTAAGTAATAATATGTATATGAAGAAAGTTAATTTACAATTAAAAAAAATGAATAGGTAATATTTTTAAATTTTTCTTTAAAATTAATTAATCTTTTCTTCTTTTTCTTCTTCTTTTTAATTTTATATTTTCATCAGAAAATGATTTATTATTTTCTTCTTTTTCATTTTTAATAGATTTATTTTGTTCATTTTCCCTTCTCCTTTCCTCCTCATCTTCTTGTATTTCTAAAGTTAATGCTGGACATCCTCTCGAACTTGAACTTTTTTGCCAAACATAACATCTTTTAAATTTAAATATTTTTTACAAATTTATTTAATTTTCAATTACTCTATTTTTTCAAACCCAAAAGCTAATTCTGAATGTGTTTTGTAATAATGCATTTCCTAAAAATTTAAATAAAAATATTTTTTTATTTAAAAAAACCTGTTGATCAATTGTGTAAAAATGATCTAAATTTAAATATTTATTTATTTTATACCCTATATTTACCTTTATTAATTGCATTATAAAATCTATATAAAGGTAAATAAGCCCCACATCCAGGTTCCTTTGTACAATAACCAAGTATTCTTTCAAAAGAATATCCCAATAAAGTTTCTGCAATATTTTTTTCGTCTTCATTTGAAGTTAAAAAATGATCTTCTTTAATTAAAATTATTTTTTAAAGAAATTTAATTTTCAGAGAAACTAACTAGCAAATTCAGAATATAATCTATAAAGAGGTCTAATACATGTACAATTTGGATCTATTTGGTTTTTACCCAAATAACCCATTGATGCTTAAAAAAAATAAATTTTAAGAAGAAAAAATATTTTATTTAAATTACGTTCCATTACAAATCCTTGTGCTCCCATTAAATGTTGTTCTAATCTTTCGGTTGTGTAGAAATGATTAAGTATTTGAGGCTTTAAATTGAATACAAATATTATTTATTTAATATATCCCAAATAAATAAGAGATAAATAAATTGTATTTTAATTCAAATTAACAAAATTCTAGTTTAGACCCACCTCCCCCCCCCTCCCCTCTCCCCCTCAACATTTAATAAATTCTAAATATTTGTCGATTTTTAACAAGGACTTAAATTTATTTTAATTTTTACATTATTGTTAAATGAACGATAAAGATGAACAAGTCTTCCTCCTAAAAATTAAAATATTTATCTATTTTTTATTTAAAAAACAATCCAATCACCATAAGTACAAGCAGATCCACAAGGTCCAATATATTTAGTTCTTTCTACCAATTTAGTTATCTAAAAAAATTTTTTCAAAAATTTCCAAAAAAATTATCCATTTTTACTTTAGTTCTTTCTTTTATATTTATTGCTGCTCCAGGTGGAAGTTGAATGACTCCAAGAAAAGCTGAGATTTTTTGTTTTGGGCCTTTATTATTTTCAATTAAATTTGAACTTTTACCCATTTCTTCCTTCTCGTCTTCTTCTTCTTCTTGACTATTTATTCGAGTACCATTTCTAATTCCAATAACTCCAGGCTTAATATAAATTAAAATATTTAAATATCTCAACTTCTCTCATATTTATTTATTTTTACCTTAATAGGCAACGGATCTAAAGGATTAGAACCACCACTTCCTCCTCCTCCTCCTCCAATTTTACTAATAATTTCCTTTTCTTCTTCTCCAACAGGTTGAAATGGTTGTAGAGGTTGAAAAGGGGGAAGTATTGGAGGTATAGGCATTGGTGAAGGTGGCCCAATAGTACTTAATATTCTCCATCCATCGCCGTGTGGTTTTTCTCCAATAATTTCTTTTTTCTCTCCACTTCCCCCTAATTGTTCTCCGGCCAAAAAAGATTCTTCAACAGAACGTACCCATTCAGGGGTTGGAGGTAAAATAGTTGTGGTTGTTGTTGTTCTACTGTTGATTTTTAAATAATAAAAAAATTATTTTGGAAATAATTTAAGAAAAATGTTTGGGGTATATGGAAGGGAATTTTTAAATTCAGCCAGTACCCACATTAATGTCATCATCAAAGGATATGGCTGTCTGCCCATAACCCTTAACGATTCTCCAAACTTATTTGATGAAGGTATGTCGACGATATTTGTTGGATTTGGAAGAATATTTGTTTCGAATGTAGATAAAGAAGTATCTAATGAAGTGCTAATAGAAGAAGTTGTTTGTGGTGGTGTTGCTGTTGTTAGCTTTAAAAAATTAAAAAAAAAATTTTTTAATTTAAAATAAAAAAAACTTTTTCTTCGTCAGGCGAAGTAATTAATAAATTATTTTCTTCTTCTAAATTAGCCAAGGATGTAGAAGCAGGCAACATTTCTGTAGATAAATGATTTTCTGATGTTTTACTTGTTGTCTTTAAATTGAAAATAAAAACTTTAAAAATTTAAACAAAAAACTTGTTGTATTTCTACTAATTCTGTACTATTTTCTATTTGTTCTTCAATATTATTAGATTCAGTTACTGTTTGTTCTTCAATTTCAGTTACAGGATAAATTGTTGTTGCTATTATTGTTGTTGGTAATTCTGTAGTTATAGTTGAATAATCTAACTAAATATGTATGAATAAATATAATAAAAGAATACTAATTTGTAAAGTTAAATTTTTTGACTTATAGGAAAGAAAGAAATTAATGAAGGATAAAGAAGAAAAACCTCCCTTTTAATTATTTAATTTTTTAAACAAAATTCCTTCTCTCAATTTTTACCTCTTCAGTTTCTTCAGCTTCAATACTAATTGAAATATAAGGTCTTTCCCTAATACTATCTTCTTCTTCTTCCTTTTCTTCATTTTTATTACTAAATTTCTTCCCTTTTTCTTCTTCTTTTTCATTTAAAGGTAAATAATCTTCTTCATTTCCTCCTCTACCCCCTCCCTCTCCTCCTCTACCCCCTCCCTCTCCAATTGAAAATATTTCTTCATTACTTAATTGTTTTTCAGTTGTTGTAGTAATTAAATTTCGTTCAAAATATTCATCTGGTTTAGACATAATTAAACGGCCAGTTGGGCAAATTGGGGAAGGTTTTCGCCTTTTAGGGCAATTATAGAGGTGATTAACATATTCTATATCGCCTTTAAAATATTTAAATATTTTTTTAATAAAATAAAATTCCTCCAAACATTCAGAGAAAACACGTTTTGGTTTGTGTGGTCGTTTCATTGGTTCAAGACAGGAAGGCCCGGCATTAACCAAAACTTGGCCCTTTAAATTCTTAAAATATTTTTTCTTCTTTTTATTTCTAAAACTTTAGGTGGAAGGGGTTCAAACAAATTCCAACATTCAACATTTTGGCCAAGATCTGTGAAAAGAACATAATCTTTTTCTGTTTTTCTTGGCACTAAACGGACACAAGTTCTCGCCTTAAAAATTAATTTAAAAAACAAAATTCTTTTAAATTTCTAAATTGTTTTAAAAAACACTTGTAAATCCATCCTTGCATTATTTAAAGCTACAGCCATATCATTATCAGCTGTAAGCCTTGAATCGTCCTCAAAGGGTATTCGAGCCATTGGCCAACCTAATTAAAATATTTTAAAGAAACAGGACAATTCAAAGAATATGTAGAGAGGTTTTAATGTTTTTAATTGATTGTGAATAATTAATTGAATTAATTAAATATTTTTTTTGTATATTTTTATTCACAATGAAAGGATATTATTATATTATTTTGCTACTCCGAAAAAAACTCTATATGTTTCAATTTTGCTGTTAAGTCCATGAGTATCAATAGAAACATTTTTTATTTTAAACATACTAAATGTTGCATAAGCAAAAGTCAGAGAAAACGAGTAAAGCTGAAGAATAAAGAAGAAATTAAATAATTTAATAAGGAATTTGTAATTGGGCATAATAATGAAGGCATAAAATGAAGAATTTTGGAAAACAAAAATATTTAAGCATTTATTTAAACAATAATTATAAATTGAAGTTTTAGACATTATTTAGTAAATAATTAATTGAATATAATTTTGATAAAGCATTTTCAAAATTATTTAATTAACATCAGTGAGAGAGAATTAAATATCTGATTACTGTAATTATTTTTATTTAATTTTTGAAGGTTTAAAAATTAAAAAATAAAAATTGATCCTTTTAAGTTTATAATTTAATTATTTAAAGTTGTTAATATATTCGATTAAGGATTTTTCCTTCTTTGGATGTGAACAAATTTCATAAAATTGTGTAGTGGATGCGCGATATAAGAATTGGCCAAAAGACTAGTATATACTTATTTCTCTCCAAGCTGACCTGAAAGAGACAAGAATGGACTTTACATACATGTGTAGAGCTGCAGCAACTTTTTTTGAAAAAAAGTAAGGAAGAAGAGAACACACATTAGAAAAGTAAAACTTAACAAAAAGTACACAAAAAGGAGAAATTTTTTAATGTAAGTCCTCAATAACTCAATCTTTGTTAGGGTCAATCGGTCGAGCGCTGCGCAATGAAAGGTGGAAAAATAGAAAATAGTTTATATTTTAATGAAAGATTTTAGGAGGAAGCATCTTTCCAAGAAATATCTATTTTGGACATGTGGATATTATTAAATATTTTTTGACAAAATTAAAATTTTGGCCTTTGAAAGTATTATTTGCCTGTATTGTGGCATTCTTTCTCTTCCTTTTCTTTATCATTTCTCCTTTGACTATGCTTCAGTCTTATTGTATGTATTTCAACGAAGAAGAAAAGCTGACCATTATGTAGTAAATTGACGATTTTTAAGGAAGGAAAAAAATGATGGGAAACCAAGGGACCCTTGTTTTCATATAGGGTCAAATTTTTATATTAAGAAGTTCTAAAATATCTAATTAAAAATAATTTGGCATGGAATTTTTGAAAATAAATTTTTAAAAAATTTTAATTAAAAAATAAATTTTAATATTTAATTTCAAAAAATCGATAGAATTTCCAAGTCCTTTAAATTCTATATTTTCACTATTCTTATTTTAAAGGTAAAATCTGTATTCCCTTCTTTAAATTCTGCATTGCAAAATGAAAATTTAAGATTCGGATCATGTTTATTGGCGATTTTGTATTTTGTATATTTCACACCATTGAATTCTTTAATTTCAACATTTTCAGCTTCCTTGTTCACTTCAAAATTCAATTCAGAAATATATTCTAACATAATAACAGGCACTAATTTTGAACAGTTTTTGGATGTTGTTATATGCTAAAATCTCAAATAATTTGAAATTAAAATTAAATAATTTACTTCAAAAATAAGTTCATAAAGCCGTGACATCTCAAAACATCTGTAACTTTTTAAACAAAATTGAGACAATTTATTGTCTTCTTTTGTTAAAATATTGAATAAAATATCTATTTGTTGCTCCAAAATGTTGTTCTCATTAAAATCAATACTGAGAGATTCAGAATTTGATAAATGATTTAAAACGAATTTCAAAGTATTATCTAATCTATAAGATAAACTGCTAACGCTTAGAGATGGCTTTTGAATAAGAAATTGAAGAGGAATTGATTTGTCGTCATCAAATAACAAATTAATCATTTCTGGATTAAATAGATTCTTGAAATCGGTATATTCGAAGAAACAATTAAATAATCGTTCTAACCAACACCGAACAATAGACATTTCTTTTATGTTTTTTTGGAAAATTTGGCAATTTTAAAATATAATGCCGGATTTTCTTTTTCTTTAAATCAAAATATATTTTGTCCAATTCAACAGCAAATAGATTTCTCTCTTCATAATCTTGTAAATACAAAGGAATTGATTTAGCTATCGCTTCTTGCCACTAAAATAAATAATAAATATAATTTAACCAAATAAAAATTAAATAAACTTTTTCTTTAAGTTGATCATTCAAAATAAATTCAGAAATTACAGATTCAAGGGGAATAACTTCATAAATATTTGATTGATTAATATTGCTATCGATAATCTGGAATAAATTAAATAAATTAGCAAAGGTTTAAATATTTACTATGTTAAGTTTATTGAATTTCAATCGAGCCAATTCATTTTCATATCCATCGATAAAGTTATTGAAATAACGATTTGTTTGTCTAACAGAGAGTAATTGATCGAAATTAACACATTTTAATATATCAAGTTGAACTTCGGGCGGCAGAGAATTCATCTCCAAATTTATTTATCTAAAAACAAAAATATATAAAGAATAAGAACTATTCATAAAGAAATCACAATTTTTGTGAAAAATGGGAGATCTCCAAGGAATTCATAAATAAATTCAAAAATTATCTATGTGATTCTTAATTTATGGGATTTCTATTACCAGAATATCAGTTCTGGTTCATCTTTATACACTAATTAAGAAGAACAAACGATTAAAAAAACTAGAATATGAAAATTGAAGACGTGGTGGGACTCAAATGTTTAAAAACCTAAAGGTTTACAAGGAGAGTTCGCGAGGTGTCCGACCTAAAAACGGTCGAGACCGGGCTCATTCGATAGAGAATGTGCCCTTTCTAGCAAGGATTTTTTGCCGTTTTTGCCCGTTTTTTGATCTGGCCAAGATATGGCCCTCCAAAGTCCCAAAATTTGGCATTATTTTCCCCCTTCAAATATAAACTTTAAATAATGCATCAATTTTGTTGGCGCGGTGGTGTAGTGGTGAGTGTGCTTGCGTTTCCCTTTTTCTCTAAAAAGTTCGATTCTTTTTTGGGTTTTATTTTTTTATCTAATTGTTTTAAACATTATTAATTACTTTTTCAACAAAAAAAATTTTTTTTAATTTTTTTGAAAAAATTTTTAAAAAAATTTTTATCCTAACGAGTTATTGTGTGGAGAGAAGAAGATTCCCCGGTAGAATTCGATCATCCGGACCGTTATTGTTTTCCATTATCGTCCCATTTTGATTGTAATACACCTAATTGTTTGGAATCTAGTTTTATTCGATGTGCCAGGTGTTTTTAAAATTTAAAAATTTAAAAAAAAATTTCTCGAAAAAAAAAATAAAAAAATTTTTTCAAAAAAATTAAAAAAAATTTTTTTTGTTGAAAAAGTAATTAATAATGTTTAAAACAATTAGATAAAAAAATAAAACCCAAAAAAGAATCGAACTTTTTAGAGAAAAAGGGAAACGCAAGCACACTCACCACTACACCACCGCGCCAACAAAATTGATGCATTATTTAAAGTTTATATTTGAAGGGGGAAAATAATGCCAAATTTTGGGACTTTGGAGGGCCATATCTTGGCCAGATCAAAAAACGGGCAAAAACGGCAAAAAATCCTTGCTAGAAAGGGCACATTCTCTATCGAATGAGCCCGGTCTCGACCGTTTTTAGGTCGGACACCTCGCGAACTCTCCTTGTTAGGCTTCAAAAGGTTTAGACTAAAAGTAACCAGGTAACGAAAGAGTCTTAAAATATGGCATCAAAACGAAAGTTTTTGGGATATAACTTTTTTGTTTTTAAATCAATCCAAATAATTTTTGCTTTAATTAAAAGCTCTGGATGTGCTGGTTATTTTTTCATAGAAATTGTTTAGTTTTACCGTCTTTAAAAAAAGTTAGGAGCCGTTAACTGCGAATAATCGTGATTTAACATACTTAAGCGGGTGTAACTTTCTAAGAAATGATCGGATCCTTTCATAAATTTAATAAAAGGAATAAAAACAAATATAGATTCTAATTGATAAAGAAATTTTCTGGAAATGATTGAAATAAAAAAAGTTATGGCATAGAAAAAGGCGTTTCGATGCTAAGTTGCCGAGACTCTATTGACAATCAAGCCTAAAGGTTTAGGTTTGCGCTGAGACTGAAAATAAATGTAAAGACAAAAGAGTCTTGCTGACTTTTTGACATAATTCAAGTCAATTAATTGTTTTATCTGTTTCTTTACAAATTACAGTAGTGGACATAAAGATAGGGACAAGAGTAATTTAAATGCAAATTAACTATTTTTCATTCAAAAAATACGTTCTATATATCAATCGAAAGCTCTATTCGTATCTCAGTTGACATGTTTCTGCATTTTTCATGAAAATGAAAATTGACCGAGATAATCCGGATCTACCGGATATACCAAATCCTATATCCTCGGAAAAATTTTTCTGAAAAAATTTGACAAACCCATTTGATAAAGCATATTTTTGTGAGTATTTTCCACAAAACCGCTTAAAAATATCTTTGTCCGGTCCAGAGATATGATTTTTTGAAAATCGCATTTTTCCCTTAAAAATTGAATTTTTTGCAAAAATAGGCTAAAAATGCGATTTTCAAAAAATCATATCTCTGGTCCGGAAAAAGATATTTCTAAGCGGTTTTGTGGTAAGTACTCACAAAAATATGCTTTATCAAATGGGTTCGTTAAATTTTTTCCGAAAAATTTTTCCGAGGATATAGGATTTGGTATATCCGGTAGATCCGGATTATCTCGGTCAATTTTCATTTTCATGAAAAATGCAGAAACATGTCAACTGAGATACGAATAGAGCTTTCGATTGATATATAGAACGTATTTTTTGACTAAAAAATAGTTAATTTGCATTTAAATTACTCTTGTCCCTATCTTTATGTCGACGACTGTATTTATGCCACTATAACATAACAACACCATTTCATCATTTTACTAAACAAACCCGAAAAATTTTTGTTAGGACTCTCATTCATAACATAAAATTTTAATGAGGATTTTTCAAAATGGGTTTTCTTTTGATTTTCTTTTTTAGTTTTAGATTCAAATGGATATTGATATTGAAGGATGTTCTGCTTTTTGGCAATCTTTAAAAAAAGATGTTGTTGTGGATACTCCAAATATGTATCTATAATTATTTAATAAGAATAAATACTTTTAGGAAATGTTGTAATGATTGGGGAAGACATATTTTACGTACTTGGAAAAATGCTCCAAAATTAGATAAAGAAAATCAAGGCGCAGCAAAACGGGCAGAAATTGAAACTGAAATAATTGAGCCACTCTTTCATTGTGCAATATTTACAAAAAAGCCTTATTCTCAAAGATTTCAATGGGTTAATATTTAAATTTATTTGTATATTTATTTTTATTTAATTTTTAGATAATTGAAGCATTTCTTGAAGAAGAAAATCCGAGTAAAAAGCTGAGAGCAATGTTTTTTCGTTGTACACTTCCTGTTGTTTGGAGAAATCTTGAGGTAATTTTTTCATTAGTTTCTGATTGTGATATATGTATGTATATTTTTAGGTGCCAAATAATCAAGTCCGAACTGCTGCTTCTTGGATTGTTCTCAATTTCTTTCCTTTGCTTTCTGATGATGAATTTGTATATTTTCTTTTTTTGCTATTATTTTTGATTTTTAATAGGTCAAAGAAGAATATTTAAAAAGGCAACAAGAAGCAATGGATCGAATGTTAATGGACGATTGTGTTCCTAATCGTGTTTTTGCTCTCAAAGTGGTGCCTCGCCACTTATGCGCTCATTGGGAAATTTTTCCTCGTGAATTAATTAAAGCTTATTTGTCTAAGGTTTCTATAAAATTTTTCTAAAATTTATCGTTCTTTTATGTAAGATTGTTGACTGCCTCTCACTCGATGCTCTACCAGAAGTCCGTGCTGCTGTTTATGAAGGTATTGGGAATTTACTACCTCGTGCTGATGCTCTTACTGCTACACAACGTTCTTTGGAAATTCTTGCTAAGCGGGGGACAAATGATAAAACAGAAAAAGTTAGATTGGCTGCTTTTCGAATGTTGAATAAACTTCATGGGCATCGTTATATTAAGGTTATTTTATATAATTTCTTTTCCAAAATTATATTTTCTTTTTATTTTTAGTTGTTGGATTTAATCCCAATGAATAATTTATTGCTTCGTCTCGATTTTGAGCATTCAAAATCGGTGCAACGTGAAATCGTTCAACTTCTTTTCCGCCCATTTATTCCAAAACATGTCGATGGTATCGATTATATGGAACGGTTTAAACGTATCTTCTTAATGTGCAAAACATCAAGAAATGCCTCTTTCCATTTACATCATTTAATTTACCCTCAAAAATTGATTGGAATAGAAATGGCAGGTTTTGTGTTAGGATTAAAGTTTGATTTTAAATTTTAATTCATTTTAGTTCATCATATTCGGAGTCTTTTGCTTGGAGTAAAAGCCATCTTAAAGAAGAGTGCGGGTATTGAAAATGGAGGAAATGATACAACTGATGTTTTAAATATGTCTAATATATCTGGAATTTCTTCAATGATGGAGGAAGTACAACAAAAGAATGGAGGCGGTGGAGATATTGGTAAAAATTAAATGTTTTTGATTTTCAAATCTTAAAAATCAAGATGAACAAACAAAATTACGAGTAACAAAAGATGTTTTGGATTCATCAATTGTTCTTTGGATGGCTATTCGTTATGATTTATTTAATTCAAAAAATGCGAAATATAATTTAGAAATGATTCGAATGATGTCAAGTATTTTAGATACTCTCAATCAATTTCCAGTAATTTTTAAATTTTATTTTTTAAATTTTCTTCTTTTTTAGGATGATTCTGCAATAATGGATTCTGCTTTAGTTATTGCAAGTCAGTTGCCTAAAGACAAGGTTGGACGAATGTTTCTTCGTATTAAGAACAAAATTGAAGAAGACAATGTAAATCAGCAACATTTTCTTCATTATGTTGAGGCACTTGCAGCTTGGGATATGAACAAATTAATTTCAATTATAGAAATTGGTACATATATTTATTGAAAGAAATATATTTTTTCTAAATTTTTTAATTTTAAGGTCTACGAAAACTTCGAAATGCCCTTGTTGCAATTACTGATCCATCGGCACTTTCTGCTACTCCATTGAGCTCTCGTCGCCGATTGGAGACTAATCCATATAGAGAATCACCTCCTTCCAAACGAGTTAAAGTAAATGAAAACGTTGTTGGAGAATTTCTACGTCCATTAGAATTAATTCAAACTTTAATTTCAAGTCCTTTGGCAAGTGAAGAATTAAAAACAAATTTTACCGTTCATCTAGATGGATTTTTTGAGGTTTTTTTTTAAATTTATTATAATTTTATTCTTTTAGTGTCTGTCAGTTATTCATAAACAATTTGGCAAATTATTGCTTTTACCTGGTTGGGAGCAAAAATTTAGTCCTCAAGTATTATTTTCTGCGTATGAAACATTTAACATTTTGGCATTGATTACTAAAAGAATTGAGGTTTTTTAAGTTTTAGAATATTTTGATTAAATCTGTTAGGAGCCGTCTCGTAGAGAGGAAATTAATGAAGCAGAGCTTAATTTGCCTACAAATGATAGATTACTGTATAATGAATTAAAATGGTTTGCAGATGTCGTTAAAGAAACGAGACCGACATTTAATGTTATGAAAGTAAATTTTACATATTCTAAATTTTATAAAATTACTTTTAAATTTTAGATGTTTTTGAGATGTGTTGATTTACATTTAATTGCTGGCCAATTATCTTATTTAATTTTAAATGAAACTGCTAATATGTTTATTAAATTAAAAGAAATTTTGGAGGATATTTATAATGCTGGTCCAGTAGAAATTGCTCTTAGAAAGAGTGTGGCATGTCTGAAAGAAGCCTTACTGGTTTCTAATAAAAAAAATTTTAAAATTATTTTTAAATTTAAATAGAATTGTGACGATCGTGAACAAGCCAATAAAATTATTCAAAATAAAATTGATCCACTTTTGGATTATTTGGAGGAAACGACTTTGGTAGAAGAAATTGATGAACAGCAACAAAATGAGAGAGGTGAAAGAAGTGATGATGAATAAAAAAATTTAAATTCTTTCTTTTAAAAAAATGCCTCAAATTTTTGAGAGATCTCTTGATATGAAAATTCATGTATTTTATTTAAGCGCTCTTTTTTTTGTAAGAAGCAATATTTATTTTGATTTTTAATTTAAAAGTTTATTAGATTATTATTCTTTGTTAAATACTTTTTGATTTTTTATATTCAATTTTGTTTTATTGACCTTTATAGATTTAAAATGGTTGTTCTTAAACAAGTTTTCTTTAATTCTGTACGTTTTTACACTTCAACTCGTCAAAATCTTAAAATTGGCAAAAATACTAAAGTTTATTTTTTAACTAAATCTAATTTCTGTTTTAAATGTTTTTTAGGTTTTGATCCAGGGATTTACTGGAAAACAAGGGACGTTCCATGGCCAGCAAATGATTGAGTATGGCACAAATGTGGTTGGTGGTGTTTCTCCTTCCAAAGCTGGAACTCAACATTTGGGCAAACCGATATTTGCTACAGCAAAAGTATTTTCATTTTGTACTACTATATTTATATTTTTTACATTTTAGGAAGCTAAGGATGCAACTGGTGCTGATGCTTCTGTGATTTATGTACCTGGTTAATCTTATCTAATTTTTTATAAAAAATTCTCTAGCTCCATTTGCTGCTGCAGCAATAAATGAAGCAATTGATGCAAATATTGGTTTAGTTGTTTGTATAACTGAAGGAATACCTCAATTAGTATAGATTATATAAATTTAATATACTAATTTATTCTTTTAAGGACATGGTAAGAGTTAAAAGTCGTTTATTGGCTCAAAACACAACACGTCTTTTGGGCCCAAACTGTCCTGGAATTATTGCACCAGAAGAATGCAAGATTGGAATTATGCCTGGACATATTCACAAAAAAGGTGTTATTGGAATTGTTTCTCGTTCTGGTACTTTAACATATGAGGTTTTTTACAGAATCGTTTTTTAAAATAAATACTTTAAAGGCTGTCCATCAAACAACTGAAGTCGGTCTTGGCCAATCCCTTTGTGTTGGAATTGGTGGAGATCCTTTTAATGGGACAAACTTTATTGATTGTTTAGATGTAATTTTTTAAATTTATTATTTTATAAAGACTTTTAAAAGGTTTTTTTGAACGATCAAAATACAAGAGGAATAATAATGATTGGAGAGATTGGTGGTGATGCTGAAGAAAGTGCTGCTAAATTTTTGTTAGAAAATAACACTGGACCTAATGCAAAGCCTGTTGTTTCATTTATTGCTGGTGTAACTGCTCCAAAAGGTTTTGTTTAATTAAGAAAATTCTTTTAAAAAATAAATATTTAAGGTCGCAGAATGGGACATGCTGGTGCTATAATTGCTGGAGGTAAAGGAGGGGCTCGTGAAAAGATTGAGGCATTACGTGGTGCTGATGTTCATGTTGTAGATTCTCCAGCAATGATGGTTTTAATTTGATTATTTAAATAATTTTAAAAATATTTTTGTAGGGATCTGAAATGGCTGGTCTTATGATTAAAATTGCAAGTAAGCATTGATTAAAAATATATTACTCTACTTTCTCTATATATCTCGTCTCCTTTTATTATTTTTAAATTTTCTCTTGTCTGTATAGATATTGTATTTAAATTTCTTTCTTGAGATAAAAAAATATTTTTTTTCATTTTAGCCGGTGGTTCTGCAAGAGCTCGGCAATCCATTTAAAAATATGACAAAACAATTGACAATAAAAAAGAGAATATGTGAATTTAAATTTTTATTAGGAATTTATTTGTCTTTACTAAATTTGACGTAAATTTTTCGCTAAATTTGTTTTAATTAATATAAAAGGAAGATTGTGAAGAATTTAAAAAGTCTGGGCCTGAACTGATTTTAGATCCTTTTTGGCCTGTAGTTTAACAAACCCCTGGGCCCAGGCTGAAATAATATATAATGCTTTAATTTGAAAATTTTGGAAGTATAATATATTTTTAGTAAATATTTCTTTTAAGTAAATTTCAAAAATTATAAAAAATAACTTTTATATTTTCAAAAGATCTAAAATTATGCAAAATCTTGTATTATTATTAGAGGAATGAGAGTTATTAACTACTTCTGGATATTTAATTGTTGTCATTTTATAATTAATTTAAAGCATATACTTAATTCCTAAGGCTATGCATTAAGGCGGCGTGGTATAATAGCTAACACATCAGTCCCTACTGAAGATGCTGGTTCGCTCCCAGCCGCCGAATAACCTTTTCACTCCATTTAATTTATTTGATTTATTTTTTCTCAAATTTTTATTATGAATATTAGACAAGAACAATTTCTTTATAAAAATCTCTATTTATTTATATAAATCTTTTTCTCTCTTCCCTCTTTCCTTTTTATAAAATTAATTCGTTGTTTTTAATTAATTTAAATTTTATTTTCTTCTTTTGTTGCTGCTTCCATTAAATAACGTTGATAAAAAGGTGAAAAAGGTTGCTTCTTAGTTCTTGTAGCTGTTGGTTCAAAAAGTTGTTTGTATATTCGACTTAATTGACTTCCATCTGGATTTTGACTTGCAAAAGGAACACGGACAACCATTCGCCTTTTTTGTGGTTTTGATGGAAGAATTGAAGGAAGAATATTGTTGTTGTTATTTGTAATACTTCTTTTAAAATATTCTAAATTATTAGAATATTGTGGAATTTCATTAAATTCTTCTCCAAATAAATTTAATTCAAATGGAAATGATGTTCTGAAAAAAAAAAAAAAAAATTTCCTTTTTTATTTCCTCTTTTAATTATTTACCTAATTTCATTAGCATAAACATAATTATTATTTCCATTTCCAATTAAAATAATTATTGCAATAATTAAACAAAAATTTAAAATTAATTTTGAATTTAAAAATCCAAAAGAAAAATTCATTCTTTTATTTCTTTGTTGTTTAAATTCTTTGCGCATTTTCCCATTTAAAATTGTTTTGTTTAAAGAAGAAGAAAAGGAGGAATTCCTCCCTATTTTTGTTTCTTTTGCCATTCTTTTTCTCGGATTTCCGTTGAGTGAGGAGAACTTTTCTTTTTGGTGTGAAATGACGAAAATAATATTTTTTAAAAAGTACTAAATTAGTAGTTAAAGTGGCCGACAACACGCACTTTTACTTTTTTTTCTTTTCTTTTGGTCACTAAAAAATTATGAAAAAGTTGATGACAATTTACATATAAGTGTTAAAAAGTTAAAAATGGGAGACTAAAAAAAGGAGAAAAAAAATAAAAAGATTTTTAATTTTTAACACAAAAAGGACAAAAAAAGGAAGTTTTTGGGGATTTTATAAGAATGTCTGAATAAATAAAAATGAAAAGATTCTTAATTGGGAATGACTTGGAGGTTTAGATTATGTAGTATATATTTTGTTAAAAAATTTAAATTTATTTTACATAAATTAAAGGGAAAGGGGAGTTTTTAAGAATTTTAGATGACAAAATTTTTGAAGAAATCTTGGAAAATCTCTCGAAAAATAATTTTTAATTAGAATGATTTTTAGTCTTTAAAAAGTTTGGAGAAATGTCTAGAATTAATTTTTAATTTAAATAAATTAATTAAAAGAAACTAAAAAATAATTAATAAAAAAGGAAGTGAATTTATAAAAATAGTACAAAATTGGAGTTTAAAAATTCTAAGAAATATAAAAATTTATTTTTTTAAATTCTGTTGAGGAAAAGAATTTTTTAAAACAAACTATAGGTGTTAATATTTAATTTAAGACAAAATAAATAAATTTTATTTTAAATTCTTGTATTTCATATTTAAATAATTTCCGGCTTTCTTTTCAAGAAAGAGTGACTAACAAAATAAATTTAAATAATCGCATTTCTTTTTTACAAAAAAAGGTTAAAAATATATTTATTTAATTAATTTGCGTGTTGAAATTTTTTGTTAAAAAAATACATAAAAAAATAAATTACTTTCCTACCTGCATATTTATTGTCTATAAATATATTCTAATTTTTGTATTTATTAACCTTTAAATAATTACTAAATATACAAATTAACATCATGCTATATTTTAAATTTGGAATAAATAAAAGTTTAAATTAAAAAACTTTTTATTCAGTTTTTTATATTTCAATTAAATGATTAGAAGAATAAAAATGGAAAGAAAAAGTTTACAAAAATAAAAATAATTTTTTATTTAATTGCTTCTATAAAAAATTATTTCAAAAAAACTTTCCTAAAAAAATTCTTTATAAAAAAATTGAAAAGAAAAAATAAACAAAAAAAATACGTCAAAAATATAATTATTTTTAAATATTTAAATTTATGACGAATTGGAGGTTATAAAAAAATTAATTAAATAAAATAAATGCTTATTATTGTTAGTTAGTACTTTTATTTTAATAAATTAATAATGACGCTTAAATAAATAAATTATTATTTAATAATCTCGTTTATACTCCCGTCTTGCGAGTGACCAATAGTTGAGAATATGTTATTGTGGAAAAAGAGATCTGGCAAAATTCTTTAATAAAAATACCTCCTTTAGCGAATTTTGTAATTTTAAGGATTAGAAAACCGTCAAAATATTTTTTGTGAAATTAAACATTTTAATTTTTATTGAATTAAATTAATGAATGTGTAAATATTGTGTGAGGCTAAAATACGGGACAAAAAACGGTCCTGAAATAAAATATGCATTTTCAATTTCATTCGAAAAATTCTGATGTAAGAAAATGATTATTGAAAAAGTGCTAAAATTTTTAAAAATCAGAATATTCTTAAAATCATACAAGAATTAATAATTTTCTCTGGCCCGTATTTTGATCGTTCTGTTTTAGTTACCCGTGTTTTTTATGTCCTTATTTATACATATTATTTTTAATATACAACCCTCTTAATTTTAAAAATAATGAAAAATTTATTTTAAATTACAACACAGTAATTATTAAATAAATAATATTTATTTAAATTTAAAAAATTATTTTTTGACACATTCAAATAAAATTTCTCTTTTTTTAAATACTTTTTAGCTTTTCCTTTCCTTCCAACATTTCA